ACGGACAATCACTATATGCCATTTATGATTCATCATTTTTCTGATGAGAATAATGTGCGGCTGACTGGGCTTTTAATTCCTCAATCATCCGGAAAGAGGATTTGCTGAGCAAAGATCGATTCCTGAAGCAAAATCTGAGGATGGGGCGTTCTAATTTTGGCAATGTCGAACCCTTTACGTTTACAGACTTCCCACTCCTACCCGCATGCACTGTTCGGTCTGTGTATACAACTAAGGGATGAAATACAGACTGCGTCATAAAATGTCTTCAAACACATGACATTCAAGCGAAATCCTTTCATTCTTCTACTCTATTATTCGTAACCCAGTCTTAATTGGGAAATCGAGTTTTTTGGTCCTCCGCTATTGATTGGAAGATGCAACTGGAAGTCCACATATAGCTAACAAAGCATTTACAATATTCAAAAAGTGGATCGACTCAACCTACTGGTAGCCTTCCTGTTTTTTTCCAACACAACTAAAGTACTGTTCAAGTGTTGTAGAAATTTTAAAGATACAAACAATGAACATCTCTGGCTAGGAGACTGAAAAAAGACCGGGACCTGAAATTTCCTATGTGTTAACATATGTAGTCTGTTTGGGATTGCTGGCCCATTACCCCGGAGAGGAACACAGTCGAATTTTGATAATTAATGAAAACACAGTGGAAGTAGTGCCATTCAGTAGATCTCTCAAATAAGCAAGCCTGTATGTACATTGAGCTGGTATCCTGTCTGTGTTTTATCATCAACATAAATCAGCTATAAATGAAAATTGAGTAATTTGCTTAATAGTTCGAAATATTAATCCTTGTTTCATAGCACTTTTCATTACTATAAATCCTTTTTTGATAGAGAATTTACATTGCTCGCAACTTCCGGCCGCATCTTCATCGATTTCAACATCAATTGGTTCACAGTTTCTGCTGCGTCTCTGTGATACAAGGCTCGAATTGATTGCTGCCAGCCGTAACATTTGTTCATCATCTGATGCCAACGTTTCTGCTCTTTCTGAGATCAAATTGGCAAGTTGCCCACGGTTTGTTGCCTCCTAAAAGTAAGTGACGGTCAAAAAAACACTAATAACTGTAATAATGCTTTGTAATTGTATGAAGAGTAAGATGCCCAGCCAGATCAGTGTGGAAACTGTTCGAATTTGCGAAAGAATATCAGGTTAACTGAACAAATGGCCCGATATGACTAAAGCAAAATGGTAGCAAATCCGGAAGTACAATAATAACAGTAATAATAGTAATAATAATGATAGTAATGGTAATAATAGTAATAACAATAGTAATAATAGTAATAATAATGATAGTAATGGTAATAATAGTAATAACAATAGTAATAATAATAATAATAACAATAATAATAATAACGATGATAATAACAACAGTAACGATAATAACAGTAATAATAGTGACAATAATAACTATGGCAATAATAACAGTAATAATAATAAGTAGCGATAATAATAATGACGATAATGATAATGATAACGATAATAAT